AATGGATTTTCACTTTGTTGTTAATTTAAAAAATATATATTAACAAAGAATATCTTGTTTATTCTAAAATGTGGAAGATTATTTGGTAGACATAGAAATATCAGAGAGAGATTTTCCGAAACATTAATTCCATTCCATATTCTTATTTAATTAGAAGTAATATGCTTCTCTTTTTCGTTTATCAGCTTTTTAATTCAAAGAAATACCGTGATATATTCCTCGTTGTATAGAACAAGGTGGTGGAAATTCTGTTGATCTTGTAGAATTAATTATAAAAAAGTTTCCATCTTATAGAGATCAAACTATTTATCATGAACAAAAAGCTTCTTTTATTTTTTCAAACAAACATTTCCTCTTTAAGAAATTTACTAAATCAATATTTATTTAACTTTTTTTTCTTATTATTCATTTCTTGAAAAATTTTTTCTCATGTAGTATCAGAATCAAATTTATTGATCAACAAGAAAATTTCAATAACAGCATCAGGAAAAATAAACTTGTTTAATTGAACATAATGATTTAGTATGATAAAACGGATACGTAAAAGTTAAGTACGGAAAGTTGTGCGCGGGAAAGATCAGTACCGGAAAGGTGAGCACGAAAAAATGAATATCAGCATATAGATAAGTTTATGAACTAAACATTAAAATTTTTTTGCTTTTATCAGAAACTTATCTATATGCTGATATTCATTTTTTCGTGCTCAACTTTCCGGTTCCCTTTCTTTGAAACTAAAGCGCTACAATTGAAGTTTATGATGAGTGTGTGAATGATTGCTAAAAACTGGTTCGTATTTGTTTCTTCCAGTGAACGTCTTGAAGTGTACGGTCACAGTTTCTTCCATCAGCTACATACTCACACTCTTTTCTGAATGCATAGAAAGAATCATGACATCATGCATCCCTCTCACGTTCACACCGTCGATATTTACGGCGGATCCCAGCTCCGGAGTTTCAAAAGTTAGATTCTTGCCCTCAGCCAACTTAATGAGACAAAAATTAGATGGTGAAACTATGTAACTGATTAAATTTCCCGAATAGAAAAGGCTTGATTTAAATAGCTTCTTTGAACTCACAAATATATCAGTACTTATCACTTCGCGCTAGCAAGCAAACATGCCAAGAGGTATACAGAACTTATGCTATTGCTTATAATTCTTTCTAATGTTTAGGATATATAGACTATCGTGGACAAGATTGTAGATAATTAAAAGTGAAATTCAAACTTATAAAGAAATTTTATTTAGAAATATGAATATTGAGTGATCACCGATTCAATTTAGACATACTATGATTCTAAAATAAAGCTTCAAAAAGATGTCTGAATACATAGAAAGTCTTTGATCATATTAGAATGTTACAAGAAGACTTTCCTCTTTCGTACTATCCTAAAAAATCAGAAATAAAGCTTTCATTTCTGTTATTTTAAAATTTTATCTTAGGAAGCGTATTTTAAAATCAAGTTACATTTTTAAGCGGTAATAATCTCTCTATAGATTTATTTCATGATTCCAGTGCTCTTCCGATTACATTATCTGTCCTCATAAAAAAAGTATCATTTATTCCTTTATTTTTTAAAGATAAATAATTCATTTTCATTTATTTTTTAAACAACGTTTTCTTAAATATTAGTTTTCAATATTTACGAAGAAACATACTCAATTGTCGAACGTCGTTCGGGCCCATATTTTGACTATGAATAGGTGTAAGAAAATGGAATTATTTAGTTTCTTTATTTCAAGAAATTGAGATCTGTAATTGTTAACATAGAATTTTCATTTGATACACGAGATAGAATCATATTCATCCAAGAAGGTCCGATCAATCTCAAGATAACATTCATGTAAGTCTTGATGCTATACCTTACTGCAGGAAAGACTTACTTAACCAATTTCTCATAGTTTGTTTCAAAAATGGCTATGGCCACCTTAGTTGAATCTCTTCTGGGTATTCGAAATTCTCAGGAAACTGGTTTTTGATGAAGAAGATATACTCGATGATAGATCGAAGAATAGTAACTACTTTCACTTTTACATTACATGGTAGATCTAAATGGACGTTACGTCTAGATTGATCGAACTTTCTTGAATGCATATGATTCTGCTTCGTGTATCAAATGAAAATTCTATGCTAACAACTATAGACCTCAACTTCTTGAAATAAAGAAAAAAGCCCTTTTTCTTACACCTATGTTGCAATTGGATCTCTATCGAAGAACGTCATAGACAAAAATCCTTTTAGAGTTTCTTTAGTCTCACTAAGTTCTATTTATAGCCAAAATATGAGCTCGAACGGCGTCCGACAGTTGAGTATGTTCTCTCGTCAGTCATCGATCCGTATATGGTCATAACTCGTCGATTGAATTTTCATAGATTATACGATTCAAAGGCAATATAATCAAACTCTATACGTTTACACAAGAGTAGCGATATTGAGCATAAATATTGAAAACCGACTAATGAGTTTTTGCTAGTCGTAATATTAATGATGTCGTTTCTAATATTCCGAACGATCGACTTTAGTAGATTTAAAAACAATAAAAATTTTTAGTACTATTCATGAAATACATAACTTAATAATTCTAATTATAGATATATGACACTATCTCATTTCTTTCTGAAAAAGTAAAGACAAATTTTTATTGAGTTTTTTCTATTTTTTTTTTTTTGTGAAAGCAAAAAGACGAAAGTAGAAGTAGCTATTTCAAATTCAACTTGTGGTTTTTTTTCGTTTCATCCAATGTTTGTTTAACTAAAAAAAAAAAAAACTACAAATAAAAATGTTTTATTTGAATATTAAGTTAATAAAGCTTGTCGTATATGTAAATCAAGTAAAGAATTTTCTTGAAAACGAAATAATGTTTGTCCATGAACATAATATGATTCAATATAAATAATAATTGGTAGAAGTGCAATAAAATCTAGACGACTTATTTTCATTGTTTTAATCTTTGGCATAATATATTCTAATTCATTTGATATACGTTCAATTTTATTATTTCCTATTCGTTTTTTAATAAATTCAAGAAATTGTTCATAATTTATTGTTTGACTATTAGATAAACATTGATTATTAAAATCTTCTAATAATTCAAAAATATTATTATGATAATAATTAAAATCAACATCATCTAATAATGTATTCCATAATTTTGAACTATAAAAATGTTACAAAAATTATTTTATTCAAAATATAAAATCTTCTTTTATTTTATTTACTCTTGTTTAGCTACCATTTCAACAATAATAGCTGTTGCATAAAATTCTTGTAAACCAAAATATGTTGCACCACTTATAATATCATATAACTAGAAATTAAATATAAAATCTATGACTTAAACATATAGAGATGTACTAACTACACGAAAAAATGTTAATTGAGCACGAGGAAAATTAGATGGTAAACATCTTTGTACTTGTGGATATGATATATGTCTAAAAGATTAATTGATATTTATAGAAAAAAAAAAAAAACTTCTTTTACAAATTTACCCATCTTTATCTGTATCAAGTTTATCAAATAAACGTTTCAATCGATTACGTGCTGATTCACTGAGCAATGAACCTACATCCATATGCTAAACAAAATAAGATTAATTAAGTATTTAATAAAAATATTCAAAAACCTGAAGTGGATGATAACTTTTTGTTTCTTCTTGAGGTTCAATGTCTACGAAAGTAGTCGATCGACTAAATATATTTGAAGTTTGTGGTGATTTACATCTTAATATTGCTTTTTGTGTGAGATTTTCTTTAACTACATGATCATTCATGTTTGGTAAATGTAATTGTACAGTGATTGGTTTAAATAATTTCGGAAACGAATATTGATTTACGTCTGTTGAAGATATTTTTTGAGATGTTCTTATTTAAAGATAAAAAAAAGACAAAAGTTTCAGAATAAAGAAAATATAATTATTAAAGTAATCTTTACAATGAATCTTGAATATTAACTAATTGATTTGAATTCTGAACTATATTAAAATGAAAAAGTCATTTCTTAAGTATTTCATATAAAAAAAACAATTATACTTCTTGTCGATATTTTGTTTACAATTGTTGGTAATTTAACTATTGGTATTACATCTTGTTTTTCAGTTACATTTAATTGTTGTTGTTGTTGTGATTTTGATTTTCTTATTACTGTTGTTGATGGATTAAATATTTGATTTCTATGTATTGGTTGTATCATGATCCCTTTCTTAACAACAGTCGTATTTAAACATGTTTTTTTTTGCTTCGAAGACATTCTTCAACATTCTTCTTATGACATCTCTTTTCAATTTAATGGACTTAACGTTATGAATGAAAGGAAAAAGAGAAAAAAAAAACGAAAATGAAGGTGTACAGACATTTTATTTTTATAAAAAAAAAAAAAAAAACAGTACAAAAATCACTTTCATCAACTGAATTCAATGTTGATGATTTGAAGAAGCAATCGAACAAAGTAAACTAAATGAAATACGTACATATTGGGAGAAATCTTTCAATAACCGAAGAACTACTAGATTTACCTGTGCTCATCTATTGATAGCTAACTTAAAAGAAAGCCATAGTTCTGAAGAGATAGTCTTTACTTTCAACTGATCATCGAGCTTTAAGTATCTCATCTTCAATCTAATTTTTTTTGTTTGATGATTACATATATAATTGAGATTTATAGAAAAATCCCAATAATTTCCAGAACTTACAATTCAAGGCTGAATATTTTTCAATTTGAAATTATCAAGTAATTCATATGATGAAGAATGTCTTAGTCAAAAAAACTTTCTGCGGTAATTAACACCCAAGATCATGCATAAGAAGAACGAATACCTTATAAGTATTGTAAGGTACATTTCAATGGTTTCTACACATGTTTAAATGACCTTCAACAATACTATATGATTCAAATGATATAGTTTTATATTAAATAGTCTATTTTTATTAATTAGTCATATTAAAAAACCAACAAACAAACAAACAAAAAGTCTATAGCAATCATTTCATAGTTTTCTTTTGTTCATTTTATAATTTCAATGATATCTTCTTGTTTTAAATTTTCTTCATTATTCGATTGTAATTTATCATTATCATGAATTATTTCTCCATTAGTATTTAAATTTTTTTTTTCTTCTTTTCGTTGTTTATATTTTCTTATTTGATTTCGTATAATTAAAATAATCCAAAATGGTTTTGTTGTAAAAAATGAAACAATCATTGGTACAATCATACCTTGTGTTGCATATGGTTGTGGAAATGAATACATTATAATTATAAATGCAATACCAACATTTTGTATTCCAGCTTCAATACCAATTGTTTTTATATGTGTCCAATTCATACGAAATATCCAAGCAAGAATACCACCAAATAAAAAACCTAAAAATGGTAATAATGGTGCTGTTAATGCTGTATATAAATCAATCATTATAAATAAATACCAATTAACAATTAAACCAAATGTAAGAAAAAATAATAAAACAAATATCATTATTGGTTTAATAAGTTTTTTAATAAATGGACGTGTTTTAGGATAAAAATAACTTATAACTATCCCAATACTATATGGTATAACAACAAGTGCTAATGAACGTACAAGACTTAAAAATGGTATACGAATTGAAAGTTCATCCATATAAAATCTACCTATTGTATAAAAATATAGAGGCATCATAAAAAATGATGCAGCAGTTGAAACAAATGACATTATAGCAGATAAATTAACATCACCATCAAATAGAACTGTCCATTGATTTGAAGCACCACTACCTAAAATTAGTTTGTTTTTTTTTTTCTAATAATAAGAAAATCTTATATTAAATAGTATATACAGTGGGTCTCAAAATTATTCAACCACGTGTAATTTGGATTTTTTTTCGTAGCCTTAAGCGCTAGAAAGAATCCAAATGGTGATTTGAATAAAGAATATTGTTACCAACAAGAATTTGACAAAATGATAATTGTCATGAATTTTCCTAAAATAGGATTTCTAGAAAACCAAAACCATGGTTTTTCAACATCCAGAAACTACAACAGAAGCCTTATTTTGACAGTCTGGAATTATAGAGCAGCCAATTCTCTACAAAATGAGACGTCTCTGAGCTTTCTACGACATTCCCTTCAAAAGTTCTAAGCGTCACAAAAATCGAAAAAAAGTGAAATTTATGAGAAAAGCGACCAAAAACCGCATTTTTTCGATTTTTGTGACGCTTAGAACTTTTGAAGGGAATGTCGTAGAAAGCCCGGCGACGTCTCATTTTGTAGAGAATTGTCTGCTCTATAATTCTAGACTGCTAAAACAAGGCTTCTGAATGTTCAAAAACCATGGTTTTGGTTTTCTAGAAATACTATTTTAGGAAAATTCATGACGATTATCATTTTCTCAAATTCTTGTTGGCAACAATATTCTCTATTCAAATTACCATTTGGATTCTTTCTAGCAATTAAGACTACGAAAAAAAAATCCAAATTACACCTGGTTGAATAATTTTGGGACCCACTGTATATATATATTTACCTGGACAACAACCAATAACAAATAGAGCAAGACTATATAAAGGTGTATAATGAAAAATTTTTGCAATACCCATTGCTAAAAAAGGCATTAAACCATATTGAGCAAGAAAACCAATAATAACTGGTTTAGGATTTTTTAAAAGATCAGTTATTATTTTGAGATCAAGTAAAAAACCCATTAATATTGAAATAATAATAACTATAAATGGAATAATTGTATAAAATAATTTATCAATAAGACGTTTTGGTTGTATTACAAGAATATTTAATGACCAAGAACGTGATAATGATGTGTCATCATCGTAAAATATATCCAAATGAAATATTAATTTTGTTAAACCCATTGCATTACCTTTCATTGACCATGTCATATGAATATTTGAATCATTTGTTGAATTTTGTTTAAGATAAATTAATGTTGGTGAAGGATATGCATTAAAAATATGACCAAGACTTTTTTTACGAGATACTAAAATCAACAATAATCAATTGTATAATTCTTTATTAAAATTCTTCTATCTATTCTTTAGTAGACGGAATTCTTATCAAGTAAAAATAGTTGATGTAATAACTTCTTAACTGTAAATAGCAAAGTTCAATACTAAAGTACAATAAAATTACGCATTTATAAAAGTGATCTTCACCATTTTTCTTTTCAAATTAACATAAAAGAATATTATTCTCCCTTTGATCTACGTACACTACGAAAAGTTAAAGGAAAGTACATATAAATCTAGTAAAACAAAGAAAACATTATGATCAAAAGTTGAAGTTTTTTTTCTATAGAACTTTAGTTGATTGTAAAAAATGTTATGATGTCTCAAAAGTTCAATTTGCAACAATCTTACTAATTATATTCTAATCACTTGTCGATGCATTAGAGACTATAGTTATGTAATTAGAAACATCTGAGAAGATAATTTGATAAGAGCTACGAAATCGAAGTATTGATCAAAATTTTAACTTTAAATGACATCATCTAAAACGAGTAAACCTAAATTTTTAGTTCATTTTCGATATTTTTTATAGTTCCATAAGTCAGAGAATTTTTGAAATGATAGATCATTAACAACTGATAAAAGAAAATGAGTTACTTTGAAATATTGTATATCATTTATTTACTGAATCAATACGTGTAGAAAAGGTTCCAATTTAGCAGTCAATAATATCTATTTGTTAACATTTTTTTTTTATTCTCTAGAAAATAGTAAAAACATATTGAAAGAGTTCATTTTCGGCATTATACAAGGCTTGTGTTATCAATGCTCGAAAACATTTTTTTTAAGGTTACTCACCTGTCTATTGATAGTACAAATTTCATTTGTCTCAATAAAACCTTTTCAATATATTTTTACTATTATCTCAAGAATCAAAAAATTAGCCCTTCAACAAATGGATATTATAGACTACTAAATTATCATTTTTAAAACTCATTTTATCTCAATAAGTAACCTATTGTTTTGTAGAGGTTGCGACGACCTCTTATCACAATCTATAGACATGAAAGAAAGTCGAAGTTGACTTCGATTCTGTTTCGTGTTTGGATGCCTCTTTAGAACATTCTCGGAAATGCATCAGTTTGTACAGTAAATATTAGAAAACAAAATTAATATATTAAAACAAAATTTTTAGCAAAAAATTTTGTTGACTCTGTACGCGGAAGGATTTTTCGAATGCACACAAAAAAATTTAACCAATCTTTCATGTACTGAGATGATCATCGATATTCTCAAAGAACATTTCTTAACAAGACAAACTATTCATCATTTTGATATTTTTAGAAAATCAGTTACTAAATCTTTAAATTAATAATCATTACTCACAAATATATAAATCTTCTACTAGGATAGTATTTGAATTATTAATTTTGATAGTTTCTGTTGATATTGGAACTTCTTTTCGAAGATTGATAATTTTAGGATTGGTCGAATTTATTTGAATTTTAAATCCAACTACATTACTATTATTATGTTTATTATGATAAAAATCATTTGAATCAACTTGTATTGTAATATGACGTATTTGAAATAAAGATATTTCATATGATTTATTACCAAACGATGTTAAATATTCAATATTTTGATCTTTATCATTGTTTGTTTTATCAATAAATATTTCAAAACTATGAATATATTTGATGATTGTTATAAATATGATGAAACATTTGAATACTTGTCCTTGCATCATTGTCTCGATGAAATGCCTTATGCTTCCTTGTTTTTTTTCCTCAGTTACTTATCATATCGTGTTTGTTTTTTACTTTTTATTACAGAATGTAACAAAAAAACAATTACGGATGTATAAACAATCTCAGTATAGCATGACAAAAAAAAAAGACAAAAGTATATTAGGATAACGATAATCTCCATATAAAGATTTGGGCGTTTTCATTACAACCAATTAATGTATGACCATTATGCGTAAACGAAAGATGTCGTACCATTGATTTCGATTCACGATGTGTTAATATATTTGGTCTATAAATGAAAAAAATTTTTTTATTTAATACTATGACCAAAACAAAATCCGATAAACTTACTGATCAGGAAGTGTCGTCATATTCCAAATGAATATTGAACCATCGAGACGACCAATAGCCATTAACTAGAAAAAGGAAATTGATTTCATTATTTTATTATTACTTTTTATGACTAATAAAATTACCTTTCGCGTGACTGATAAACCAAGTCGGACATCGAATATAATATTAGATTTTTCTGATCGATTCCATCGAAACAATATATTCGGATCTTTTTGTTCAACATTAAATTTCCAAATGCAATAAACATGATCAGCTGACTTCAAAAACAAAATTCTATCGTTTCTTTTTCTTGTAAACAATCAAAACACTAACCTTGCTGACAATAATATCCTCACTAAACCATTTAACAGAATCGACATAATGTTCATGCAAAGTATTTGAATAAAATATCGGAAAATAAACATGATGTGGTGCTGAGAGTCTAAATAATAAAATTGAATAATTCAAATGTAGAGATTATCAAAGTCTTTATTTCATGCTTGATAAAACTAATGAGAACACTTCTCCAGGCGTTAAAACATTTTTCGAGCCTTCATTTTTGAGATATCGAAATTTCATAAAAAGCTATGTCATGTCTCAGATCCACAATCTTTGGACTCAGTCCAATCGTACTTTGATCCTTTCTTCCGGTTTGTTTTGTATTCGATGTCAAGTGTACCCTACATATTTCTCAGATGACTCATTTGAGAAATGTCTAGGACAGAATTATTGGGTCCAAAGTTTCCCAATCCAGACTCGTGTAACAGAAAAATGTCAGACCGGAACAACCCGACGAGTTATACATTCAGTTAACATGGAAAATCAATTTTACTATTTCTACGGGCAAAGTTCTCAAAGAGATGAGTTGATTGTACAAAGTTTAGCTTTTTTAAAGATATGAATATACTACTTTTACACATGAGACAATTTCGAATATCTCAGGATAGCAGATACTAGAAAAACTACAACTTGCCCAATGAACTAATGTCATTAAAACCTTTGTTCGTGTAAAGTTGAAACTTTCACGTGACTTGAGGAATCATAGGAAAACAGAATAAAATTTCGAGATCGAAGGCCTGAAAAACAAAACCATTCGAGATTATTTTATTACTCATCAAATGAATATCATCTCAATCGACAAGCGATTTAATATCGGGAGAGATTTTCTCGTAAATTGATTCTTGAAATAAAGAATATAGTAAAAATTTTGTATTTATAACATTGAGTTGATAATAGGTTTGATCGAGTATTATTCGCAGAGAACTTTCGACAATTGCTGATATTTTTCGTATGAATTAAGATTGTGAAATTTTAAATCATCTCTCACAAAAGAATATCTGAATGTGAACATTACAATTCAAAATCTTCTTTTGTTTTTACCTAAATTCTTTAAATAAAGGTCCTCTTTTAGCTATAGCCATATTTTCAATTATTTCTTTATCTTGTGTCGACCATACACACACAATATTATCTAAACCACCGGATACAATGAATGTACCATTGTAATTGATATCCTATAGTAAACAAAATATAGAATCATATATATATATATATACAAATGAATACAAACCACAGAAAGAACACCTTGTTTATGTTGATCAGGTCCAACATAATTAGCTAAACAAAGAGCTGCTTCAGCATCCCATAAATAAACTGCATAATCTTGAATTAAAAACAAAAATACAAATGAAAATATTCATTAATTTAAACTAACTAGAACATGAAGAAGCCATTAACGTTGGTTGTTCACTAGCAAATGCAATTTGATTAACACTACCTAAATGACGAAGCTAAAAGAAAGAAATTTCTTCAAGATTTATTTTATCAATTTTACAAACCGGTTTCAAATGACATTGATGAGCAATATTAATAACTCTTACAACACCACGTAATCCAGCAGCTGCTAATATTGTCGTATTTCCAAACATTGTCCATTTACAATCATAAAAATATTCTTTATCCTACATATATATGAATAAAATTTATTTTATTTCAAAAATGTATTTCGTTTTTTTTTTGCTTGCTTACGTCTGAATCACAATAACTTTGAATAAGTTGAACAGATGATTTCTCATCGATGATAGTATATTTATAAACACAGATCTATTTTATAAATCGAAAATAGAATTATGAATCATAAAGAATATTAAACATACTTGATTTATAGCGCATGTAGCAAATAAAAATGCTTCTTCACTTTCATCTGATAAAGCTTGTTGACAAATACTTATACTATAAATTGCTTTTTTATGACTTTCCTTTTATTTAAAACAACAAAAATTTTTGCAAACAATTATGTTTATTTATGAAATATTACCGTAATAATATGTTCACATTGGAAATTGTCTTCGTCATGTACTTCATTATCACTGCTCATTTTTTTTTCAGATGTTCTTAGTCTATATGTTTATTACGACATAAAATCATGTTTAATATAGCAGATATATATACATATGTATAAGAGGAGAGTTGACCGCTATGTGTGTATGTGAAAAAAAGAAAAACAATGACCGTCGACTTCTTTTATTTAATATGGAAAAAATAGACGGTCAAATGAGATGAGTGTAATTGCTATCGACGTTCTTCAAAAAAAATATTGAGATATTATAATTTTTTCACTGGAGAGTACACGAAACTGATTGTACAACTCGATTATATTTTTTTGGTTCAATTTACTGTATTTGTAGAAAACCTCAAAGATTTCTTATTTGGATAGAGTATGAATTATGCTATCGAACTATAGATGTTTTATTTGCTATAGCATTATTTTGTAGTTAATTTCATAGGATGAGCAAATCAGAGGTTTTTCAAGTCTTTCATCTTGAATTTAGTTATAAATAGAAAAAAAACTCCTGTGTAGATATGCTTTTTAACTGGACTTGTCTATCTTTGGTGAGGTTTTTTGTTTTGACAACTAATGTCTACTGGAGTATTAAAAATTTTTATTTATATATAGATCATTTGTTTTTCTAATATAAAAATGATCGAAATTTTAATAGTAAAATTCAATTTTTTCTTTAATTCTAAATTTGTTTTGTTTCATATTTATTACACGTTCTAGTTTAATGAATCTCTTTCATCTACAGTAATTTTTATGATTAATAAATTTAGTTTCAATGAAATGTGGGCGTGAAAAAATTTCCATTTCATTGTTTCTTAGAGTTTATTAAATTATCGGATAAGATGCAAAATAAATTAAATAGAAACTACTTAGATGGTTCATTAGAGCAATTGATACTCCATCTAACTGTATCAAAATAAATTATATCCGAGATTTTATATAAATACAGTAAATCGAATAAAACTATCAAAAATTATGTAATCAAATTGTTAATGTTCATTTCATGATAGTTATTAACAGAACGAAATGAAGAAATTTATTTTTGATATTTGAATTGATGTTTTTTTTGTTAACATCTGATTAATATGTTCTCTTTATCGATTTTTCCATAAATAAAGATAAGGACTTAAAACCAAGTGATTGTAGAATTATTTTATGCTTCAAACATATTTAAAAGTTAAGTTCGCTATAAAAGAATCTTATCTAAATTATTACAAGTTACAAGGTCAAATTAACATCAATTCAAGAATATCGATATTAATTTGTATACTGATTATTCCAAGCACAATGATTCTAATGGATATAAGACAGAGAATTGTTATCATAACATCATTGAGTTCAATGTTGATTTATGATTTCACATTAGATTAAAAATATTATCATTTATTTCTAAAAACGATAGTCCTTTCATGTTTGTGAATTCAAAAAAATATATATGTCCTGCTGAAGTTATAACTTACGAGAGAAGTTTGTGCATCTCATTGATGAATGTCTTTCGATCATCTATGCTCGTGGATTTTGTTTCAGCCATCATTCTTTACGTTAATTCTTTCTGAATATTTACGATGTATTTTCATTTATAGATGTTGCAGGTATCATTTCAGAGTACAGCCGATAGGTTTGGTCATTGAAATTAGGATCGTTAAAAACAAGCATCGCTAAATTTCGATGATCTCCATTTCAGCGATGTGATTTTCGACGAAGAGCATATTGACTATATAAACAAGCAGATTTAGTGTTCTTATTTCAAGACAAAAGATCTGAAGTTTTCACAGTCAACTACTCGTTAAGATCTGTCTCTATGCAAAGTTTCAACTCGAAACTTGAAACTCGGTTTGCCTGGGGAGAGACCATGGCATTTATCCAAGAAATACTGTAAAAGTGCAGTATCTTCGTAGCAATAAGTTATGGACATGAATTCTTTTCAGGACATTCATAGCTCATTTGGATATACATGAAATGCATAGTCTCGACTCAAAATCGATTAAACAGTTGGAAGATTTACCGCTTATTGTCGAAACTACAATATCAACAGAGAGTCTTGCTAAAGTTATTCTTCGTTAATTAAAAAAAACTTCAAAAATGATTTCATTGACAGTAATATTATGAGAGTATATTATCCAAATTAAAGTTACAATCAAAAATTATATTTCTTTTCTCTAAATACTAATATGAAAATGAAAAAAATAGACCGAAGAATAAGTAAAATTATGCGTTTAAAATAAAGAACATATCAGATAATAATCATACAGAAAAAAAAAAGAATTAATTCTATAGAAAATGAACCTTTCATATATTGACACCAGAAAAATAATAATTTTGCTTGTAGTACTTTCTATATTGAGAAAATCAAATATGATTTCTGAATTATCCTTGACTGGACACTTTAAAATACATATGCATTATTCCACCAACAGTTTGTCATATTTTCAAAAGAGGGACAAAGACTACTTGAACACTGAAATCTTTATGTTGGAACATCATGTGGCAACAGTTGAATAAAAACCTATTTTAATTGTAAAATTTTACACCACCAAACATCAGCAAGGTATGAACTTGAAAAAAAAACCAGCAGTCAATCATTAGTATCCAAATATGATGCAACAATGTCACAAATTAATTAGTTTACTCATGCGTTCATTTGACCAGTTACTGATCGGACGTACTTTTTTTTTCATTCCTTCTCTTCTCACATATATTATTGAATTATTACGCGTGCAGCGCGTGGTTACATAGTTTCTTTCAATTATTAATAATTTCGCTGGTCGAAAATCAAACGTTATCTTAAACCTTCTTCCTCTTCGTCCCATGCACTTATTGATTCATTGGAAAATCTGAGGAAATGTGTGAAGCTGCTGCTAATTTTTACGAAGACTTCTTTAAACAATAGGAGGTCGTAAGACCACATCCCTATATTGATGCACTCTTTGTTGAATTTGACAATGAAGACGAAAAGATTTCTGAAGTTTCTCTTGATGAATTATTTGAAATGGTACAGGCAAAACGCAGGAAGAAATCTTTAGATACTCATAGAATTTCAAACTTTATGTTGTGTTTCCTAGCCTCGCCGAACTGGTCCTTACTTCTTCAACTTTATAACCTTTCTTTCCAAAAAGCGACTCTATCTTTGGCTTAGAAAGACACTCGAATGATTCTTCTAGTTAAAAAAAAGTCTATCTATGCCTCCTTCGCAATGCAATCGATCTCACTGCTCGATTCCTTTTAGAAAGTCGGAGAGAAACTTTTTCTTACTCGTTTTAGATAGAAGAGAAATACTTCCTGATAGTCAATCAGGTTTTAGAGAGAGCTTTAGATTACAAACGTATTTATTACTATTCTTAGAAGATATATATAACCTAATGTTGAATAATGCCTCTGTTTGCACCATTTTTGTTGATGATAGGTCTGCGCTTGACCAACTATGGTCCACAGGGTGCATAGGAAAACTATGTAGATTAGGTATTCGTCCTTCGTATCTTGCTTGGATAGATGCATCGCTTCGAAATAGACTTCGTTTTATAGACATTAATGGTGGAAAATTGCTTTGGTTCTCGATAGAAAAAGGTGATCTTCAAGGTGGAATTTTAACCCCCCAGTTTATTTATAACATATCATTGTGATATAGACCAATTCCTTTCGTGATGCTCGAGTCATTTCTTCGCAGATGATCTTGCTGCAATAGTTTCTGGACAATTAGGTTTTAGTTTTACTGAGCAATGTTTAGACCTGGAAAAATGAATTAAACTGTTCCTCGATCAGCTTGAATATTATTCGTGTTTGTCCATGTAACCGATAAACTTTTCCAAAACAGAGGCGGTATTTAGTGCTTGTGCTATAGGGTTTACCGAATTGCGATATATTTTTTGGTCCTAATAATGAAAAGATGATCAATTAGGTCAACGAGTTTAAGCATTTAGATTACTGAATCACCCTCAAATTAGGCTGGAGTAATGTGATCCAAAAAACAATGATAAAAATTAGACGACGCGTCTCGTTAATTAGGTCGTTTAAACTCTCCGGTTGTTTCTCTCCTCAGTTAAGGCGTGCCCTATTCGCATCGTATGTACTGCCATTATTTACATGGATCTATCCTCTATTTCCACTCTTCTCTGATAAACAAAGAAATGATCTCTCTCATTTTTATTTCACATGCCTTTGTAGAGTTATGCTTTCTTCGCATTTGAACGAAAACTTTTTTGCATATGCAATGAATGAGAAATCATTGGAAGACAGATGTTCTTCGTACTGAGACAAATATTTGGTAGCTTTAGCCGACTCTATTGCTGGGGAACTGATCCTGGAGAAAGCCAATCTAAACGTTCTTAGGAAAGTTTAGCTCTAGGGTGAATTTCCTTTGAAAGGTCTCAGACGTTCCAAAAAATTCATTGAGTGTACCTCCATATTAGAAAAAGTTATGTCCTGGCTTAGGTCAATGTCCTTCATCGAGATGGAAGATATTCAACTTCTCCAAGAATATCCTGAAACTTTCTAGTCATGATTCTTGTAGGTTCAATAATGCATGCACGTTTGACGTGAACTTGTGTTCCTTCGTTGTCTGTTCGTGTTATCTTTTGTCCTCTGCTACGTTCGTTCGTTTTCTGCCTCTCCATATTTCCTTTTTCTGGTGTCTTGTTGCGTGCTCTTCCTTTGGAGTTTGTTTTCTCTTTACTGTGTTACCTGTTTCTTTCTTCATGCTTCTTCTTTCTCTACTCATCATATTTTGTACTGTAAGAATCTTTCTGATTACAGTTAGAACGTAATAAAAAAAGAATAAAAATTAATTAGTTTACTGTTGAATTGGTTGTCAATAAAAAATTAAACAAAAAAAAAAAAAACATCATGCAAAAAATTTTTATATAAATATATTTCTAATTTTTTTCTATGCTTGTTCATTCGCATATTAGTTTGAAATAAAAACAAAAAATAGAAATTCTTTTTTTGTCATAATATCATTGTCAAATGATGATTTATTTTTAACTTTTTACCTAATATAGAATAATTTTGACACGACACATATACTGTCATAAACGATAAGAATAAGATATTTGACAATGAAAAAAGATTCAAAACATGATAATATAAACTCATATGCTATTGTTAAACATAATGATATTATAACGATAGTTTTCTGTCTTGTATCTATAAGATCAATAAGTTTGATAAGACAATTCCATAAAAAGACTCATTTCTAGAGAATTTAAAACTGAATATTTTAATAAAAAAACAATTATATTGAAATGTTAGAATATTAGAAAAATATTGAGATCATCTTTTATTCTGCCGCCTCCGTTACTTGACAAATTAATTATTTAAAGATTGGCGTGGAAAACAATACATTCATATCGTTGCATTGTTCATGATCCTTTGACAAAACAAAGAAAAAAAGAGATGCACTTGAATAAAAGAGAGATTATCTTATGTGATATAAATGGAAGATAAAAAAGGACATAAAGTGCACTTACTTTTAAATGAATTCTATCGAAACATTTGAAAAATGTTCATCTATAGGAGATGCATTTCTAGCAAAAAATTGCTTTAGGGAACCAAAACTTTGCTCAAAAAATGAGGATTATTCATCCATGAGAAGTGTCATTATAGTTACATGCAAATAAAACAATGCTTTTCAGCATATAGACCTACTTTAATATTCTGGTTAATTTTATGATTTTCATCTTATAAAATATCAATAATGAATATTACGGGATTTATATAAAGAATACTGTGAATATGATATAATCTCAAAATATATTTCTTTGATTTTACTAACATGTCATTGAATATTCTATTCTATTCGAATAGGCTATGATAAACAGTGTATAATCCATTTAGTATATATGCATCTTTAATATTGATAATTGGTGTTAGTTTATTTCAAAAAAAAAATACAGAATTCTATATAAAGTATTTTTTTTCTTTTATTGAAATTCAGCAAGTGGAATATTGAAACCATGTTCTGCAGATGTAAAAATATAATCACTAATTTTCGTTAACATTATATCTTCCATTTGTCGATTTAATTCATGATTAGCTTGAAGTAATTTTTTACCCAATGGACTTGAATAAAAATCGATAAGTTCCATAATTTCATCTAATGTATAATATTTTGCATATAATCGAACAAGATCAGAAACATAAGCATTAGTAGAAAATAATTCATCATATAATGCTCTTATTTTAGTATTATCGGTTGGTGGATAAATTTTTAAAAATGATAAAAATCGAGCATATTCATTTTCAATTCCAGTTAAACTGAGTAAATGTTTAATATTATCTTTGATATTAGTTGATGATAATACATGTGTTGGTTTTCCTTGAGTCAATGTAAAAATCATAAATACAACAATCATAATTGGTGTTGAGCGTAGGAGATACATGATGATACTAGAATAGAAGAAAAAAAACAAAAAAAAGAAAACCAAGCTTCGGAAATATTACTAAATTCAATTCATTCAACTGAATGCTTCAATAATATAGAAAAGACTGTACTTATATGTGATCCTATTAAAATCTACTAATACTAAATGGCTTTTGTGTCAGATTATGGATGACTTAAATGAGATATATGAATGAGAAAATGAAATATTAATAGAAATGTAGCAGCATCTGCTTGTGAACTAATAAAATTACATGAAAAAGAGAATTCTCTTTCTCGTTCTCTTTTCTTATTCTTTCTTTTTTTTCTTTTTCTTCTACCATATAAAAACCTTAAAAAATTTTGATTAATGCCATTCATTTATTTCTTACCTAGAGCATTTTCTATTTCTTTATAATTAATGTTTACATTATCAAATGCTAAATAATTTCAATATAATAAGAAGTGATTGTAAGCATACACCATGGAATGAAACATCCGATTAGTCTTACTACAATCTACTTTGACAATACTCATAGAATTAATTCACACTTCTAGTCATGCTTATCTGATACGTAATACAAATTTATACAAGCGTAACAAATCGAGATAGATAAATATCGATAAGATGAGATCGAGAAAGATTAAGAATGCAAAAAATGCGAATTTCAGTAGAAAAATGTTATTAATATCAGCACATGTGTATGTGACAAACAAAGAAGATATTCTATCATTCCATATGTATATGTTACAGTCAAAATTGAACTTTAATTAAATCCTGAGTTTGTTCGGAAAAAAATCGAATTCGATTTTTAATCTTGAAAACAGTTCGAGTATCAACAACAAAAAAAATTTTTCGTTTTCATTGCCTAATCTATTTTTTATGTCATAAAGTATCATTAATTATCCAACATCTTTATAAACTAATTTGTTAATATGTGAAATTAGATAACAATTTTACTATTGAACATTTATTTCACTTAAAATTAGTTTGTATGTTCGTCGATCGACAAGCAGATGTATCAACGATGTTCTACAAAAAAAAATACAATATTCATATAAAACAGTAGGAATTTTTTGTTTGATTATATGTCATTCTAAACTAGGATCGTATAAAAATAGAGACTAATATATAAGCTATAATATGTTTAATAAAACTAATATACTCCTTGTTATTCAGACTTCAACTATTTTCGATTTGATCTATGAATTTCTAGTTCAATTCTATTTACATTCCGACAAAACTAAATTTCTAATTTTCTTTATAAAATATCTGATCAAAAATGGAATTTCGATTTTGTTCAATCAAAATTTTAATTTCAATATTGTTCGAACAAATTCAAAATTTGGCATAGACATTTATAAATAAAATATAATAATAAATAACTAATATCAAAATTCTATTTATAAAAAGATGATATAGTTTTTAAAAGTAGCTTTTCTTTACTTATTCTATTTTGAATATATTAATTCTATATGAATTCAAATTTTATCTTTATTTTAACATTGTTATAAGGAAAATATTTCTCGATTTTTATCGATATAAGACAGACATTACAAAAAAAAAAAAGTTTGTATTCAACTAAATAGATTTTTATTTTAAATTATTTCAACATTAAAAAATCTAAACAGTTAAGTTCTCAAATGTCACTTACCTAGTTAACTATTGATTTCAGTTTATCTAAAAAATTTCTAATAACTACTTAAGTAGGTACCATTGAGTAACTAATGGTTACATCTCTTTTCAATTTTTTATAATATCTTATGCATTAATAACAATGAAATACTTTAACAATTCATTTTACTTTAAAATATTCAAGCATAGAAGTAGGCTAAAGAAATGTACCCCGAGAGGATTTCTTTGTTGTTCTATAAATAAATACTTTTTTTTTAAACAAGAAATTACAATTATGTCGTAAATGTATAAAAAAAAAAAAGAATTATGAATGATAACCGAAAGTATATTTATTTCTTTAAGAGTAATAGTCAATTAAAAATTTTATCATCTCTAAAGCAAAAGAATATTATTCATATATATATGTCATTGATTTGAAAAAGAAAATAAGAAACAGTAAGATACAACCGAAAAACTATGATTCAAGTAGAGTCCGACAGCTTCGAAAAAAAATGGAACCGAAATTTTTTTTCTGATAATTAGGGAGCTGCTCAAGTGTTGCATCATTTAAAGTTGCAGAGATCAATCAATGATTGTATCAGCGGTAAACTATGCAAATTTCTCACAATTGGATGGAAAGAGAAGTTAAAAATCAATAAAAGTATGATTAAAGTTTCTAAAAAAAAAATCACTTTTTCATAAAAGGTATGGTTAGATATTCTCGTATGTACTTTCATAATTATTATGCCTTTGAGTTACGTCTCTGTTACAGTAGCCATAAGAAGTCTTGCTACCAGATAAAAAGTACATTAATTTCAATTCATTTGTATGATATTTTGACTATATATAGAGCTCGATAATCCATGATTGCAAGCAACAACCCGAGGTTGATAGGTTTTAATATATTGTCTGGGCCGATGTCAATATGGATCACTTCTCCATCAATGGCTATTTGGAGAGGAAATTTGATCAAAACAGGATACTTATTGGAGATATCGGTTACTTTTTGATGATTCCTATTAACTCTCATATGAAGATTATTTCATAAGTCAGACAAGCAAAAACTGTTTGACATGGAATTTTTATTGATGATAGAAGCAGCACTGAGCTGTCCAAGCATCATGAGATTCGTTTTCTATGTTGGGATATCCTGATCTAAAGAAAAAAAATGTGTCTTGACCTTCCGACTTCTCCGCATGAAGATAGATCAAGTTCTTGCGATTAGTGTTTAACATGCTCTATTTATGGTCAAACTATGAGACTAAAGGATTAAAGTTTAGATACATTTTACCAAATATTAAGACTTTTTGCAACTATTGTATTAGAGAATTTGAATCCTGTTCGATTTTCGCGGCCATTTTTAAGGTTAGATCTAATGCTCCTATATGATTTTGTAGAGAATTGAACAACAAATATATTGAAGTTGTGCGGAATTTTCTGTCTGTAAACGTAATCGAAGTAAATAGAAAACATAGATGCTGCCATTATTTAGAGTGCATTCATTACTTATGATTCGTTTTTCTATTTATTATTTTTAAGTTCTATAAATAAATATGTGATTCATCTTTCTTCTTATGTATAATAATTTTTTGTGTATTATTTCAGTGCTTTTACAAGTTGAATGATGTCCTATGTATAACATCTCCAGTTGAGTTGATCATATAGTACTAGCTACCTTCACTCCTTGGTTAAATGAATCGTTCGTCTTCCCTTGTCATTCTTTTTTATCATATATATTATCCTTACCTTGTCATCTCTTTTCATCATATGCAGTATTCTTATCTTCTTGACCTGTCTTTACCGTGTTGTTTTCTTTTCTATCCTTTCGTTGACTAATTCTCCTCTCTTTCGATGCTCTCTTCGGTGTTCTCATGCTGACATATAAAAGTAGAACCGTGTGCTGTAAGAGTACGCGTAAGATGGAATGCGACAGAGAATATTTTAATTCCTAAATACCTTTTAAAAGAAATGAAATTTGTTCGAGCGCTTACCGATTGATTCAAACCTATGCTTATCCTCATCCTCATTATTGACAACTAACAAAATTTGAAATTTGTTCAAATTTTTCTTCGTTGTTCTAGTTTTTGATGGTGATACTGAAAATTCCTATTAAGAAGATGAATTATTCTTTGAATTCTTTATTGTACTTTCAACTAGAGTCCGACGGTTTCAAAAAAAAACTGGAACCGAAAACCGAAGCTTTAATCGCTTTTTGAGTTTTTGGTAACTGAAACCGTTGGATCTGAAAAATTTTACTGACGACTGGTATTATCTATATTTCATTATTATTCTGTGATTTATACACAAACGAAATCTTCATCCATTTATTATTTTTGCGTGCTACAGCTATCAGTATGTGAAAACTCATTATGAACAGTTTCGCATTGTAATCAAGAACAATGCATTGATACAAAAATAATAGTAATTAAGAAGTTCAAAAAAAAAAAGTGCCAATAATATTAAGTTCTATTATGTGAATAATCATGAAAAAGACATAGAAGATGATGATATCAATTTATTTTTGAGCGCTTTTATACAATAAGAAGTTTCATATAATTATTTCATATTAAAATGATTTTTCTCTTCCCATGTAGCCGGTTGTTGTATTATCATGTAATTATTGCCATTATAATGCATTATTTTTCATTATAATGCATTATAATGGCAATAATTATATGATAATGCAACAACCTGCTACATGATTTTTTTCACCTACAATTTGAATAAGTTGCTTTTTATTAATAAAAAATATGAATTATTTCAAAAAATAAAAGAAACATCAAAATTCCGAAAAAAAGACTAAGATTAGTTGCTTGTCGTTCAATATTAGATGAACGGTTTTGGTTTCGATTTTTAGGAATCAAAATTAGAGACGTTGTTTTTTTCTCAGTTTTACTACCCGAAACCGCCAGTTTAGATTCCGAGTGTTTTTTGAAACTATTGAGCTCTACTTTCAACAATAGAGAACGAATTATTCAGAGACATTTTATCGGCAAGAACAAAATCAAATCACTTGTTACCAGTGTCAATAAATCGAGTTCGATCCTTTCTTGATCAACTGATGCATCATCATTTTCTGTTATATCACGTCATAGTTATAACAATCCTTGACTATCTATAGAAGTTTTATCTCCCACTTGTTTTTAACAGCAGAAAAATTTTATATAAAATTTATTCGTCCCATAAGACGATCCTCAAAAAAATTTTCATTCCATCCCATGTGACTGTCGCATCCTACGCAGAGCCCTGGTGTAAGTATACAATTTTATGTATAATTCCAACTGCATTAATATTTCTTCTATCGGAAATCGTTACACTATGATTAACTTGTTAATTATTGCTAGTTTATTGAATGTTTCAAAAATTTCAACCGATAAAAAAAATAAAATTATTTTTCATCATGTCAA